AAGTAGCAACGAAGAGAACGTCTACTCAGTGGTTTAACGACCTCAATCCAAATCCTGTTCTGTGGGTACTGAAGTGGTAAAATGACAGTTTTACACCACATTTACGATCGTCAATCGTCATTTAGAGGAATCGACTTTTGAACCTTTCCTTATCGAGCCCAAGCCAGTGAAAACATTGCATATGGAAACATCGTTGCCCTGACTTGGTTTATGTTAAATAGGATGAGTATTTAGCATATAATAAATTCTCAATTGCTAATAGATTCACTGCCTTGTAAACAACTTTTTTCTGCAGTTCATGAGAAGCAAATGAGTTGATTGAGCTAATTTTGGACGATGTATCGTGATTCTACTACAGCTGAACGGATCCAAGCTCTTTGGTAGCTTCGCAAGCTCCTCGTGATAACTGCAGTAAAATAAGCGCAGAATCTGAATTTTGCAGAAACACAGCGTAGAAATGATTCAAATCAGAAAACTTGTCATGCTTAGCCGAGACAAATCAAGTAAAAAAAAGTATTGTGCGGGTTAGCCGTACTGGAGCTTTACAACAATCACCGCTCATCTCAGATTACATGGGAACATGGTGTCCATCACAACAAATCATATCACTGAGGGCTTCAACCATATGTTACTAAACCTTATTCAGTAACCGCCTAACTTTATACAGTAGGCATTTTTGGCCTCTGTGAGTAAATGTTGTCCTTTTTCATAGGTCCGCAGAGAACTGGACAAACTTACAACAGAATTATCAGAACTACTGGCGTTATCAGGTTCGCTTTTTCCTATCAATCGCAACAGATTTAGTTCAATTGCCTCTGATTCACTCCATTGTCGTCAGTATTACTATTCATACTGCAGTATTAAGTGCCTAAAATTCACTTTGCTGATAAGGGAACGCTTGAGTGATTTGAATAATAGTTTCTCTCAATCATCTTAGGCTAAGTGTTACCAATTTCTCGAGCAGAACTGCCAAAATGATCGCCGCTAGCCCCATGCCATATCAGAGAATACATCCCGCATATAAAAGCTGTCGAGAACGGTGTGCACATTCATTCTCTTGTCTCCACTTCGCACGTATTGTACATTTCAAGAAGCAATGGGCGACAAGTCGTGCTACATGGGTGCTGGTGGCTACTCGGGCTACATGGGATCAGGAACTCAAGGATCAGGATATGCTAGAGAAGAATACGCAGGGAACATTGGTAGCGGTGGAGGTGGTGGATATAGCAGTGGCGGTGGCGGATATAGCAGTGGCGGTGGTGGTGGCGGTGGCGGATATAGCAGTGGCGGTGGCGGATATAGCAGCGGCGGTGGCGGATACAGTAGCGGTGGAGGAGGAGGAGGAGGTCAAGGTACGAGACTCAGAAAAAACAAAATATTATCCTATCCATTGACGTGTTTTTGCCAAATCTCAATTTTCTTAGTTTTTTCTTCGTAGCAAGAAGAAAATCCTAACCATCTCCATTGCAGACCAACAAAAACAAAGCGGATATGCCGGAAATGTAGGCGGATCCGAAAATCAGGCGTCTTGCTACTTCGCGCCCAAGTGATTGATGTTTCTAGCGCAATAAAAATGATTCTAATAATTCTGATCTCATGATCACGAATGAATCTTTTTGTAGCTGGATATCGTTTCTGCTAAACAAATGTTAAAGTAGACCAGATAGAGTGGTTGTTAAAAATACCCTTCGAACCTAACTGATGAACTTGTGTACAGGATAGTTTTGTGAAGTTCTGCACCCTAACATCCTTCGTTCATGCTGTCCGCAAAGGCATGCACCAAAATTACCCGCAAAACCCTTTTATGGGCCTGAAATACTTTGCGTCGCACAGTTTATGCGATGGCCTGTATAGATCTAAAATTTGTGGAAAATACCAAAAGTCTTAGAGGTGCTATCATAATGTATTTCTGTAAGTAAGCAATTGGGTAAACCAGCATAAGGTGTAAACATTAAAGTTTGACGTAAAAGTCAGGCATTATTGACTTTCATATGTTGCCTTCCTACTTTCCTACAAAATTGTCAGCAG